CTCCTATCGTCGCAAATAATCTTTTCTGACGGCTCGTCATGCACAAACCATTTGTGACGCTCGTATTTGGAACGGAGCGCGACGACTGCATGGTGTCACAAAAGCACAATTGCGACGGAATTTGGCCTTTACTGAAGAAATCCTTTGGTCAATAACGACAACCTTTTTGTAGTGAATCTTCCTCACAGTCGCTAGCTTGAAGCAACCATTCTCCCCTCGAATCACCACACCCAAAACCATGGCGTCTGAAACAGCAAAGCAAGCGTCTGTGTTAATCTTTGTTCTCCCTATCTCTGGCTTTTGCTAGGCCGTTGTAGGGATATGGAGGATCAAGCTGCTTCCTTTCTTGGTTGTTCTTGTAATCCTCCCATCAGTACCGTGCTCGGATTACAATTTCATCTTCCGCTAGCTGTTTACCATTGAACAGGTGCGCATTTCGCTCTTTCCAAAGAAACCACATCAATACGCTCCACTGCCCCAAAGTATCCTCCTCAGTTTCGTCCATCAACTTATTCAACCATTCAAAGCTATTGTGGGTCGAAGTGTAGCCGAAACATGAGGCTAATGGCGAGGGTCTCCAAATGCGGCATGTCCATCCGCATTCTCCAAATAAATGGAGTTGCGTTTCGCGTAAATCACAAAATGGGCACTTATCTCTCGACGTTGGCTCTTGGCACTAATATGGTCTCCCGTAGGTAGAACTTCCCTGGAAAATCTCCAAAGAAAGTGTTGTATCTTGGGTGCCACCTTTAAAGACCAAAGCCTCTTCCACATTGCCTCCTCACCAATCAAAGCAATTCCATGTTCAGCCTTGAAACCTTCAAGCCAAAAGTGATATCCATCCTTTATTGAGTAATGGCTATCCTTGCTTCTATCCCATATGAAGTTATCTCTCTCCCCCATTCCACGAAGCGGTATTTGCACTATAGCTGACACAAGCTCACTTGGGAAGCACTTCTCTAATAGGTCTGCATCTTATTGCTCTGTGATTGAGTGAATGAGTTCTCTTACCTTTGCGTCCATTAGTAGCCCCTACGAAGGTGAAGTGATGAAACTTTTCGGGTTGTTGGGAATCCACTTATCCCCCCATATACGAACTAAGTCACCATTACCAATCCTCCATCGGAGTCCACTAAGCAGAAACTCCTGCGTCGACATCATGCTCTGCCAAATGAAGTTGGGTCTGTAACCCAGATGTGCATCTAAAAGGGTCAAATTCTTGTGATACTTTGCTCTAAGGATTTGAGCGATGAGGGATTGTGGTCGTTGATAGAGACTCCCAAAGCTGTTCTGCTAATAGCGTCGTGTTGAACCCCTCAAGTCCCGAAACCCCATCCCGCCTTCCATCTTAGAGAAAACCATCTCTTCCCTTATCACCCAACTGACCTGCCTCTCAACACCCTTGTGACCCCACCAAAAAGTTGTGATTAGACTGTGTACTTCATCTGAAGTTCCTTCCGGAATGCGGAATACGGTCATAACATACGATAACTGAGCTTGAGCCACAGATTTAATCAGAACTTCTTTGGCCGCCACCAACATAACTCTTTCCTTCCAGCAGATTTAAAACGATCCAGCAGTCCTGCGAACAACTCCTTTTATGAGCGACCAAACATGGTGGCCAGCCCTAGATACTTTTCGTGCTTTGCCACGATGGGCATTCCCAACGTCCCACTAACCAGGAGCTTTTTATGTGCAGACACATTATCACTAAATGAAACTTTAGACTTTTGAAAACTTACCACCCGACCTGATTCTCGAGAGTAATCGTCCAAGATATTCTTCAAAACAATACTCTCATGTCGATTAGCTCGTGCATAGAAAATGCTATCATCGGCGAAGAACAAATGGGAGATAACTGGTGCTCCTGCCGCCGGTTGAAGACCATGGAGTCGGCCCTCTTGCACCGCTTTGCTTGTGTAGGTCAAGAGGCTCTCAACGCACAAAAGAAAGAGGTATGGCGATAGAGGGTCTCCTTGTCGTAGTCCACGTCGCTATACGAATGAATCCGACTTATGTCTATTCACAGAAACTGAGTAAGTGACCGACCGAACATAAAGCATAATTCATTGCACCCATTGTTTGGCAAAGCCCATCATGTACATCACACCTTCAAGAAAATTACATTCGATCCGATCATAGGCCTTCGCCATGTCGATCTTTGTTGCGAAATAGCCCACCTTCTCCTTCTTCTTCATCGTGTGGAAACACTCGAACGCTGCCATAACATTATCAGTAATAAACTGTCGGGTACAAAAGCACTCTGCATCGGGGAGATCACCATGTCCAATAATCCTTTCATTTTGTTCGCCATCACCTTCGCCACAATCTTATACATAATATTGCACAAACTTATCGGTCGAAACTATATTAGCGAGACAGGAGATTTAACCTCTTAGTGGATTAATCTATTGTTGGAAAATTATAATTTAGTGTAATTTTTATAATCTACAACTTGGTACCTAAAAGAAGTTGAACTTCTTATACTCAAGTTGAAGCTTTGTCTCTACACACACTGTAAATTCTTTTGAAAAGGAAAACTGTTTTTTAGTGAACTAAAGGTACATAGATTAGTTGAAGAGTCATTCCTTCGACTAGAGTTTAGGGAAATTTGATTGAAAGAAGGAGATGCAAACATTGTGTACTTCCATAGGCATGTAAAAGTGAAACAAAAGAGAAACATGTTTTCGATCTTTGATTGATGGTAATGGAAGGTGGTATCAGATACAGATGGAATGAATAGAATCGCAACTCATTTCTATGAGAGTTTGCTAGGCAAGGCAGATGAAGTAGTGCAGCAAGAATCAATAGAGTTCTTCGAGGGGGCCGTTGTTGAAAAAACTCGATACTATGAGACTAAATCTTCGAGAGAGGCTCGAAGACTCCCGCTCCACTACGAGACACAGGAATGAATCACCTTCTCTGAAAAGACGCGACAACGACAAGTTTATAAGTCCACTACCGCCTCCCAGAAGGCGTGGCATTGGCGAGACACAGAAGCGTCTTGAGTTCAAACTCTCAAGACGTGGGGGCCACCCTCCCTAACACATAGCTAACGCCTAATAGTCAACCAACAACTTATGTTTGCACATGCACACAAGCTCGCGATCATCGTGCGATCCAACAAATCAACACATAAGCTCACAGTTACCACCTACTAGTGCAAACATCAATGGGTTAATGAGGAAATCATATGATTTGAGAGTTCTAACTCAAGATATAAAAAAAAAATTAAGCAAGTGGCAAAGACAATGGTCACGCAACTCACCCAAGGGACAAAAACACATCATCTCGACTCACAAGTAAAGCAAATTAATACATATTAAAGCATTATGGGAGCACTTCTACTATGCTATATAGCATCGGTGCTATAATGTACAACTTAAAGTTGTACCATAACATTAAATGTATAAGTTTAGGTTGTACCATAAAAGAATTTGTATCATTATGTTATGGTACAACTTTACAACTTGAAGTTGTACCATCAAATAAAAGTACAAGTTCAAGTTGTACCATAAAAGAATTTGTACAAAATGTATAGGTACAATCTGAAGTTGTACCATAACTTTAAAAGTACAATTTCATATTGTACCATAAAAGAAAAAAAACTATAGCACCAATACTATATAGAATTGTAAAATTACTCGCATTATGGTACTCCTTCCATTCTTACAAAATACAAGTAAAGGGACAACTATTGGGATGCGATATTAATATGTCTAATGCAACAGAAAAAAAACTACGTAATCAATGAGTCCAAACCCACTACAAGGCGTCTCACTTCGGGCTCAAGCCTATATGAAACTGAGACTCCTATATAATGAGGCACAAGCCCTCCAAGCAAAGAGGATGCCTTAAATTCCCACACTCTCTCATGGGGGCCATGCCCCTCCCCCTCTCCATAGGTTCCTCACCTCCTGAAAAAATCAAAATAGGAGTCCGGATTGGAGCCCCTAACTACTGTTATCGGTCGAGGGTGCATCCTAAGTCAAAACATAACCTAAATGCACTGGTACTCAACTCAATCCAATCCAGTCAAAGCAGGTAAAACCTAGTGTTGACGTATTTTGGGTCGGTGCTGGTTTTACTTGCTTTGAAATTGGCGGGTTGGGTTTGGATTTTGTCAAAATCCATATCGCTTTCCACCCGACCCACACTCATAAAAGAAAACAATATCATTTTTTATATTACCGGAACAATATGATTAATTTATTAATATTATTAGTCTTTATAACAATAAAATCTAATAATATGGATGAATTGTGAGTGTTAGTAGTTATGGAGATATATTTATAGGAAATTTTTTGCAACATTTCGAAGTGGATGTTCGAAAAAATAATGTATATTTATGTTTGTGAACTCTTGCATCCGTGGGCCGTGGGTACTGGTTGAGTTGACTTTTCAATCCTAAAATTTGATGAATATTTTACCAAATCTTTTTAACGGTGCACCTGCTAAGTTGAATTTGAGTTTAGAGAAAAAACTATCCCTTTGTCACCCCTAATTACCACTATCCTCTCTCGGGATGAATTGAAGTTGAAATGAACATGGCTCCTGTAACTTGGTCTGGGCTTCACTTCGTTCGAAACGAACTGGAGAGTAGAGGGGACACAACTCCTTCCCCTTTGTCAGCTTCGACAGCGCCACTCGCAAAATTTAAATGTGCAGTTGTGCACCCATCTCCCGCGGGATTGTCGTCGGCCTCTCGTCTCCTTCGCGGTGGCCGTGAAGCCGGACAATTACGACGATGAGAATTCAATACTTCTCTCTTAACCATATTAGGAAGAAACTCCGCCCCGCTTTGGACTGAAACCGAATGGAAGATGACAAAACTTGGACCCTTATAGGGTGCAATTTACAGTTAAACAAAAGCAGTTTCCGTTGATACTTCTAATGTAAATTTGTGGGCAAAAAACATCAATCTAAGACAAAACTTAAACGTCCTCCTCCCATCTCTCTATTTATATTGTTCTGATTCTGGTAACGAGCAGAGAGCAGCCATGGAGGATATCAGCTGGATCATAGTCGCCATCATCACCTCCCTTGTATCTTCCCTAGCTCTCCTGGTCTGCAAAAACCACCTCTTCCCATCTCACAACAAGCTCCCACCAGGACCCTTCTCCATCCCAATTATCGGCACCTTGCTCTGGATGCTGAGGAGCAAAGGATTCTCCGACCTCGAACCAGCACTCAAGAAGCTCCGCGCCAAGTACCACTCCATCGTCACAATCCGCATCTTCTCACGTCCGGCCATCTTCATCTTCTCCCACTCCCTAGCCCATCAAGCCCTCATCCAGGATGGCGCGGTTTTCGCCGACAGACCACCTGCTCCACCTCTCACCATAATCACCTCTTCCAACCAGCACAACATCAGCGCTGCCTCCTACGGCCTCACATGGCGCCTTCTCCACCGCAACATCACTGCTCAAGTCCACCACCCTTCCCGCGTCAGGTCCTTCTCCCGCGCCCGCTCATGGGTCCTCCACATCCTCCTCCGCCGCCTCCGGGACCACCAGAGCAGCCTGAGACTGAAGGATCATCTCCACCGGCCTGCTGGTGCTCATGAGCTTCGGTGACAAGCTGGATGAGGACCAGATCGAGGAGGTGGGACGAGTTCAGAGGAGCATGCTGCTGGGAATGCAGCGCTTTCAGATACTCAACCTCTGGCCGGGAATAACTAGATTCCTCCTCCGCCGCCAGTGGAAGGAATTTCATCAACTCCATCATGAGCAGCATCGGGTTTTTCTCCCTCTCATCAGAGCTAGGAGGGACAAAGTTGGAAAGGTGGAGGAGGAAGAACAAGCACTGAGCTGCTACGTTGATTCATTGCTTGAAGTGGAGCTACCAGATGCTGAATACGGTGGCAACAAGAGAAATCTTACCGACGATGAGATTCTGAGCTTGTCCACCGAGTTCCTCAGCGCAGGGACTGACACAACCACCACAGCATTGGAGTGGGTCATGGCGAATTTGGTGAAATACCCTGACGTTCAGGATAAGCTGTTTCGGGAGATTGAAAGCATGGTGGAAGGAAGTGAGGAGGTTTCGGAGGAGTTGGGGAAGATGAAGTACCTGAGGGCAGTGAGCTTGGAAGGATTGAGGAGACACCCGCCGGTCCATTTCGTGCTGCCTCATTCCGTGACGGAGGATACGGTGCTGGACGGCAAGTTTATGATCCCCAAGAATGCTGCTGTGAACTTCATGGTGGCAGAGATGGGGTGGGATCCTCCCAAACCCCTCAGGTTTGGGAGGATCCCATGGCGTTCAAGCCGGAGAGGTTTCTGGAAGGTGGTGAGTTCGATTTGACTGGAAGCAAGGAGATCAAGATGATGCCTTTTGGTGCTGGAAGGAGGATGTGTCCTGGGTATGCCCTAGCCATGCTGCATCTCGAATACTTTGTGGCTAATCTTGTATGGAACTTCAAGTGGGAAGCTGCTGGGGAGGTTGATCTGACGGAGAAGCCTGAGTTTACCGTTGTAATGAAGCACCCACTCGAAGTCAAGTTGTCCCCCAGGGTTAAAGCATCTTCGCAGTAATGCTAACACCTTGCACAACAAATAATGAACTTGGATCAATAATCTTAAATGTGTCATGTGCTACAGAATGAACTATTTTGGCTGATGAGTTCTCAGAATCCACAATGCACTACAATTCATTCATGAATAACCACATGATGATTCTAATCAACTGAATTATTGACAATCCCTTTATACTCTCGTGCATGTGGGACAGTAATGAATCCAAGTGTGCTCTATAAAAGGAACGATAAGAATCTAAATAACTGATAAGGTTGTAGCACATACAGAGGTTGCTTAGGATTTTCGAGATTGTTGCATAAATTTTCATCTCCAGAGATCGATCCAACTATTTCATTTCTTCGAAGGGTTCCGTGTCAATAGTCATCTCATCGCCAACATCAGTCTCGACCTCGGCCATTATTTCATCCCCATCTGCTGCGGTGGGCTGCTGGACTCCATTTCGTTCCGGGTTAGATGGTTCCTGCTCGTTTGGACTTTCTTTGTCAGTTTCATCCTGCTTTTGAGGGGCTAGTGGACGCAAATCGGTACAAGCAACCAACGTGGAGGTCACTAGTAAATTCTGCAGCGTAAGAGAGCTTTGCATAGTTACAATACAAGAAGCAAAGAACGAGCTGCATGCATACAACCATCAGGAGAAGCAAAAGCCAACTAACCTTTTCTAGAGCTAGAGTAAGCTTCGAGAGATTTGGGTATATGCTCTTTGCAGTCAACAGGATCTAAAAAAGAATGATATATTAACAACAACTCAGTCTGATCGCTGAAACAAGAAGCTAGGCAAGCATAGACAATGCACACCCTATATCAGTAAAATTGCCAAAGAGATAGAGAATGTGCACGCAGGTCTGCCTAAGTATCAGCATTTGACAAGTTCTCAATGCCAGAAGAAAAAAAAACCCCACCTCGGTTTCTATATAATTATCTCAGAAAAGGAATCACCCTGCTTCTCACAGAACTTACGCAACTACTCCACTAAGACCAGACTGGCTACATACAATGCGCTAGCTGACATTCAACAACAGATGTAACTAGATAGCAAACATATCTTCACATCAATTACTGAATACATAGGACCAAAGGGAATCTAGAGATGGAATCACCTCACACAGCCTTTGCAGGGTAAAGGGCGGACCTTCATCAAAACTAAGAAGAGCTGCACAATGAAGCAAAATGCGTTGTTGTTAAGCAATGGTTGAGAATGGACAATAAAATGGAGCAGCAGCATAAATTACTATCAGTGTGTAGTCTATCGTATAAAATCCCTGTCCAATTTTTCAGCCAAGCTCAAGTCAAGTCACAGCTTCATCACATCCCACACCACATCCCCAAAATCCCAAGGAGGTAAAACGATTCTCTTTTTTCACGTCTGATGGAGTTATCATGATTACATTAACGGTTTCTTATCATTTTTACAAGGACATCATGGTTATAATGGCCTCTCCCAGCCTAAGCCCAACTCAATCATATGCCAGCACCTGATTCCATATTATTACCCGAGGGCAAGATGGCCTGCCATCACCTTCAAGACCAGTTTCCTAAACTACAGGTCACGAGCAGATAGAAAAGAGACAGCCAACTCAAACAAAAAGGCAAGCAAAGGAAATGGGGGTGCAGAAGCATACCATCATCCAGCCTTTTCATCAGCTCAGGGTAGTTTATCCTAACGAAGCTTTCTGCTCCTCACTGGTCATTTTCACCTCAGGATACTCGGACAAAACCTTCATGAAGGGGAGTGGTCACCATAAGAAAACCAAAGCTACTTAAAAATGTCAGCAGTGGAATGATTTAACCCACCATTGGACAGGTGCTTAACTAAAAATATGAAAAGTTGAAACAAGTTTGCATACCTCCACATACCTGCTTCAGCTTAGAGGATAGCATAATCTTCAAGTCATCCCAGTTGTGCCTGCGAGAACACGAGATACAGTACCACTCAACACTGGTTTCCCCTCAAAACTACTACAACGGGTCAAGAAAAGGTAGCCAACTTTCAATCATGCATCAAAATCCATGTTAAGGTAGCCAACTGTTCAACTATTACTAGGACAATAAGGGCAAACTTTTGCAACTGGGTATCTGTAAGGAAAACACTGTACGAAAGCTATATTACCAAGTGCGAGAGAATACCAGAATTTCCCAGTGGATGCAATAAGTTCCAGAAAAGCTCCAGCTTCTTTGTCAGGAGTCTCAGGCCCAGGTTCCTCCTCGCTGAAAACACAGAGTAAAAATTCAATTAATTAGCACAGGAAGTCAGGAACAGATTTTTTTGCGTGTGAGGTTTCCGAAAGCCAGATTCATCCACCAAATAAATGATGGTATAAAACAGCAGTACTCTCTGAAAGACATATCTCAGAGGACACCAATTTTATACCAGCTGGTAGAAGGTTGCCCTACATAGAAGACGAGTTTGTGCCAATGGAGAACAAGGAGAAGAAAGAGGTAATGGTGACGCCTAATGGTTATCAAACCTCAATTTCAGGAATCCCTTACTGATTCTTCAACTACACATCACTGATTTTAGTTCTTCCCATGAGTAAGATGCCAGAGAGAAAACTAATAATTACCAAGTGGGAAATCATTACCGATGGCTATAGACTTTGGGTTTGGGAGCAGGAACAGGAGCTCGAGAACTGCTATCGTGAACGGGTTTGGAGTCTTTATCGCCGGAGCCGGTGGAAGCATGGTTGGGAGAAGACTCGGTCGTCGGCGGCATCGTTGGTCCGCTACTTCAGGGAGGGCAATGACCGACTGACCAGCTTAGAGAGAGTGTGTGGCGCGGCGGGCCGCCTGGCGGGGAACTGCCCACTGTTTTCTTGCTCAGTATTGGGCTCAGATTAATCTAGTAGAAGTGTAGAACAACCAATCGCACGATGATTGGGCTCATGAGTTCCTTTAGCCCACAACCTTAAATAACATAACTCCATATATAACATTTTCCGCTAGATTAGAGGTTACAATTCATTAAAAAATTTAACTAATTTAATTCATTTAAATTTAGGTCATTTAATTCAAATTCTTTTTATCGAAAAATTCAAATTCAATTGAATTAGTGGATTTATGTATTGGATTCATGGATTATTGGAATATTATAGTTTAGTATGTTCTTTTTTTATATTTAACAACTTGGTACCTAAATTTCAATTTTTAAATGAAAATATTCTTCAATATTACATTTTGAAACGTAAATTTTTCATAATGACATTTTACTATCTAAAATTTTCAAAATTTAGATGTCACTTGTATTCATGATACTAATTCATTTACCACCTTTAATTAGCTAACGTGTAACATAATGAAACGAAACCCACACATCCATATCGTCGTGTACACAATTTTGGATTGGTAAGATTCTGATTTTTTATATCTTTTCTTTATTTTCTATTCTTTTTCGCATCAGACGACTCTTAGAAACGAGTAGAATGAGATATGAAGTGTTTAGATAAACGAACGAAACTAAGAACAAACTTCGAATCCGGTTCTTTATCGCCAACAAATGGACAACTCTATTATTATCACAGTCAAGAAATCTATCGTTAGTCGGTCACGAACTTTCTCCAATACCACCTTGGAATTACTTGCAAATGACACCGACAACATATACCTGACTCACACAGCATACAACCGCATCCCATAAAAGCCAACAACTTGACCTAAAATTGGTCATCCAACTCCTCATAAGCACAAGCAGTGAGTCACTTGATGAGTATACGGAAACTCAGCAACGAAGACAACTACATATCATATACCACACTGAACTGGAAGCAGTGGCGGACCTAGAAATTTAATTATGGGTATTCACCAAAAAATAAAAATAAATCCAAAAATAATTAAATAAATTTATCAAAATTTTTAATTCATCAAATACATCAATTTATTGTTTTTCACAATGAACCCCGATGTATTTCATATTTTGAGAAATTTCTATAATACATTCATCATTTATGTTGCGGCTCACACATTTTTCAATAAAAATAACTACACAATCATTCATAAATTGATCGTCCATCCAATTTTGAAGATCATTCTTAATGAATTTCAACTGAAAAGGTCATCTAAACACTTGTAGTTGCAATAAACAAAATCAACACTAAAGTCAGAAGTAGTATACGAATGAATAATAATTATTATCATTTCATGTCTCCATCATTTGCCTAGCTGCTCATCGATTCTTCACAAGTCTAGGGTTCATAGCTCATGATAAATATATCCCATCAATTGTTAAGATTAATAGGCTAATGAATTACTTTTGGATTCTTACATATTTTGCTTTGTATTCTTTCAATATAATTAGATTGTGGCTTTGATGGAAAAATTGATTCAAAATAATTGTAAGAGTTGTCAAACTAGAGAGGGTGCAAATACTACCAAAAACAATATAATTTTTACAGCTTAGTTTGGTCCAACTTAATAAGTAAGGTTTGTCAACTTACAATGCTTAAGAAAGAGTGGGTCCGCCCCTGATTGGAAGAAGCCATCGTATGGATTTTAGATAATTTAAACCGACGTGACTTTTCTTCGGGATGATAGAACGAGTTTTGGAGAGATGATTAGGGGTTGGAGGGGTGATTATGTCTATGCAGTTCAACAAGATAATGTGTGACACCTATGTAATATGTACTCTACTCAAAATAGTCAAATTGGTCACTCTTACTCATGGACGAGCTAATACATATCACATAAATGAACCTGTATGTTCATTTACTTTATCAAAACTTTTAGGTTAAATACACTTGTATATCCAAAACTTTCACGGTTGTGCCAATAATATCCAAATTTCCCGAAATACCACTTATATCCAATTCCTTCACATTCTTTAACGGTGTTTTTGGATATACAAGTGTATTTAAGCAAAAATATATTGGGAAATGGATAGATTTGGCAAAGAACAACTTTAAAACATGGATATAAGTGGTATTTCGGAAAATTTGGATATTATTGGCACAACCGTAAAAGTTTTGGATATACAAGTGTATTAAACCAAACTTTTATTATTTGCTCCATGATAACAAGTAGTATCATACATGTGACCATTAGTTTTATTTGGATTTCCGAGATCAAATGATGGCTTTTTATCAACATGAATGTTGAAAGGCTGGATGGGTAGTTTGGACATATGGCTGATTAAGATACAAACACAACTGAAACATCTAGATGTATGGGTGTCAATGTCTAGGAAACTGAAGAAGACAGGGAGAGATGATGAAAATTGGGATAGTCCGGACGAGACTGTTCAGTCAACAATCGTGTTATGTTTGGTTGATAACATCATCACTGTTGTTGTTATATATAAAAGTAAACCAATCTTTTTGTATGTGTTTAAGGTTAAAAATCTGTACAATACAAAATCTCTAACCATCAAGTTGCATTTAGAAACAAATTTTGTTCATCTTATGTGTAGAGGTAGGTACGCCTTTTGTGGATCATCTTTAGCAACTCAAAATCATCTTGATGAATATGAGAGTTCAGAAATCTATTAATGTCTTAACTAGCTAGTTTAGGCCAATGAGAATATTAGATATGTTTGTGTAGCTAATATTACATGTTTTGCTAATGATCTCTCTCTTCCCACGAATTCATTAACCTACGTGTTTGAAATTTGAGTGCCCGTTTGGGAAGACTCTTACAACAACAACAAGGATGACGACCGGTTGTCAGCAACAAGAAGGAGTAAGGATGATAACAGGTCAGTTCGTGGACGAATAATAAGTGTTCCTTGCCTTATCCTAACTAGTCCAGATTTTCTTCATATTCATTTATATCATAAGGTTTCAGGTATTCATACCCATGTACATCTAATATTTTTCTACATATAGTTTTCTGTAACATCTCGTTCCGGCAAAACCCATATTTCGATCGCTAGAAATTTCGCGATTTAAAATCGAACGTTTTAATAATATTTCGACAAAAATCGGATTATCAATCAATCGGATAAGTATACGTATTAATATTATATATATATATATATATTTTCTATCCATTTAATTCATCCGTCCCTTTTATTCCATCATCATAATCTTCCTTTTATCATTTCCCACTGAGAGATACAGAGCGAGCAGAGAAAGTTTAGGGGACGCAGGGTAGAATTTTCCAAAACTTGATTCTTGAGTTCCAGTGGTCCAAAAATCCCGTAAGTAATGCCTAAGTCATCTATACATCTTGATTTATCGATTTAGAGCTTTAAAACGAGTTTTTTGTTCCGGAATTTCTTGAATTCCCGAGAAGCCAAATTAGGGTTTCGGAGTATCCGGAAGCCGGATTGAGCCCAAATTTCATATACGAGCTTCCTGCAGTGAGGTAATTAATCCTTTGGTTCTAATCCATGAATTTCGGCTATTATTTAGGTCGGGGTCCAAATCGCTGAATTTAGCTCCGGCCAGGGTTTGAAGTGTTTTTATCAAGAATTTGACCCGGAGCCTATAACTATTATTGATGGGATACTGCATGGGATATTAGGACAGTCTCGGATTTTAATTCGGGGTTCGTTCGTGAAATTGACGTTTTAGTACGGGAAGGTTAAACCGGTGTTTGAACGACTAGAACTGGTGAGGGATTAGCACACCATACCGGGTTTGTCGTATCACGATAATTATATTGATGCTTAGAATTGACCTAGGTGAATTAGAATGGCATGATTAGGGGTGTATGGACTTTTATGCTATATGATGAACCATGGATTGTTGTATGATATTATTGACTTGCCCTAATCGATATGGACCTTGTTTATGCTGATGATTGCATACATGTTGCCATTTGTGGCTTAACTGTTGATATGACTTCATGGTTGTTCGATCAGGTGTTTTAACATGATGTGATATTGTGGTTGTATTTGGATTCACAAGTGGGGGAAATAAACTTCCCAGGGTGATATTATGATGTTTTAAGGAGGATGACTTGTACGAGGGTTTATCCCAAGGAAGTGCAACTATACGACTCCTGGTTTACCTATGTTGAGCCAATTATGGTCAAGTCAAGTACATGTGCAAGTAACGAATTATGATTAAGCAAGATGAGATATGAATCATGTATAAGGATACCAAATATAAGTGGTGTGGTCTCACGGTCAACTACATAGTAATTAGGGCTCCCTATGCTATTACTCTATTATGATATGTATGATAGTCACACCTCTCATGTGGTGGTGACTGAAGAATTCTTATGAGATATGACCACACCCAAAGCGGTGTCGGGGTATAACTACACCCATAGTGGTGTGGGGTATGTATGAACACATCCGACGGGATGTTGGGGTATGTATGACTACATCCGATGGGATGTGGGGGTATGTTTCCCGGGAGAGTTATTAGCATGGGAGTAGCCAGGCGCCTATGATTAAAACATGATAAGATGCATATGCATAAGTCAAGGTGGTTGAGTCTTTTGCCTATTGGGATGTCGGATGGCTGAGGTCTCATCCTAGTGTTTTGGCTTGACTGTTAGATGTATGGTAGGGGTATGCTCTGTTATGAACTCACGATGCTATGATTATCTCACTCAGCTATGAGCTAACCCTCTTTATCCTTTTTCTCTGCTTATGCCATGTGTAAGCAGATCATCATCATCAGCAGTAGATAGGTGTATAGTTGGGAGCTGAGCAAGAGTTGAAGGCAAGATGAGGTATGATCTTCAACTATTCTGTGCTTGGACGACTACTTGGGATTTTGGCCAGTGATCCACACCTCTTTTTGTAAAAAGGTTTTGAGAACGTTTTTCATGTGCATACTAGCTTCTGATGTAGTGTGAGATATCCACAGGTGTGGAAAGTTGATGATATGTGTATATTTATGTGGTTGTGTAAGTTATGACGACTATGATATGTATTAGTAAGGTATGCAGTTGTGGAGTATGAAACAGTGTCTATGGCTATGAAAGCCAATGTATATGGTTGTGAGTATATAT